GAGAGAGAGAGAGAGAGGATAAATCTCGTGACTCTGTTTGCATTCTCTCAGCGATGAATCCGCAGGAAGCGAAAAAGAGTACAAGAATAACACCACAAATAATTTGCAAAAATGACAGGAGAAGCATTCACGACTACAAGTAACATCTGTAACAATAACAATATTAATAACGAAATAAAGAAGAAATACTCATAATATTTCAACTATTGACGTTTACAACAAGAAGAACAAAAGAACCCCCCCCTCCACCCTCCGCCCGAAAAAAATTAATAAAATAAAATACAATAAAATACAATAAAATCAAATCAAATCATCCTCACAATATACCATCTATAAACACAGTAAGATTATCTAAGAGGCAGGACCTCTGCACTTAACGTTCATTTCAGATAGGACCGAGTAAAACGGGATAAGAGCTTCAGAAAAAAAATCCCCATTTCGAACCAAGGCCACCCGCTCCATAGCCTAACATGATGTCAACTAAACTAATTAACAACGCACATACCAAACCCTCTTTATTTTTTCTTGCTGGACAACACGGGTATAAAATGATCTCTTACATCATTTGAAAAACCCCCCAAAGAAACCAAGAAAGAAAAAGGCGTTAAAAGAAAAAAAAAGAAACAGAAAAAGACGGCATACAAAAAAACAAAACAAAAACAAACGAAGAAAGAAGGAAATGGAGAAAAAGGACCCCACAAATGGAAGAAAAGACAGAAAGAAAAATAAACTAAGAAAAAAGAAGGCAAATGGAGAAAAAAATGAATAGATAGAAAAAAAGGATTACCAAATTCTTTTGCAGGAAAAAAAAGAACAAAAATAGGAAAGAGAAGAAAGACAGGGGGAAAAAGATGTCGAAACAAGCTACTTGTAATTCCTTGACCTTGTTCAACAACCCCGTCCCGTCATGTTCCGCACGTCTATGACCAAATGTCCCAGTCTCCGGCACGCCAGCCTCGTACTCGAGACAAATATTGACCAAGGGAGACAATTGGATTAGCAGCTAATGGCGGCCGACCGGAAGACGGGAGGGGGCGTGCCCGTTCTCCAGCTTTTAACCACGATTAGGAAGATTGCCTGGTGCCGGAGCTGTACAAACGTGACGCAATAGCGTGGGATCTAATCGGCATATCTTTGCCGTCTGATGAGTATTTCCCGGAGTCTGGCTTCTTGTGAGAAGGAGAGAGAGAGAGAGAGAGAGAGAGAGAGAGAGAGAGAGAGAGAGAGAGAGAGAGAGAGAGAGAGAGACTGGTGCACAGTTCTGAGGTCAGTTTCTCAGTTAGTTTGTTGGAATGACGTAAGAACCAAGCACTTGTGAATTCCACACCCAGAGTCTAAACTTTACACAAAACTCTACAATGAAATTTATAATTTAGTGCACCCTGAAAAGCAGCAATAATTGGTCAATCTGGACAAAGCAAAACAAGTACAGTCGAACCTGGGAAGATGCCACCCATTGTCGAGGAGAAAAGTGGCCATATAAGACAGGTGGACGTCTTAGGTGGGACTGATCAAAATGAGAAAACAAACAACATTCCCTTCTGAGGTCCTAACCGGAGGTGGTAGTAGCCTTAGGACTGCCGTAAGACTGGTTAAGTTGGTTTTTATTTTATTTTGAAGGGGGGGGGGGGGGGGGGGGGTGACGGGAGGGGGAGAATGTTGGCTTTTTTTGTTGGGTTGGGTTTTTTTGTTTAAGACTATATTTTGTTGCTGATTTAAAACGAAATGTGTCGGACGAGGAAGACCAAGAGCCATGACGTTTCTGTCGCAAATTCATGTTGACATTCATTGTTACGGACTGAGTAAACAGTGACTGCTCATCTCGCTTACGATTTGAATACGAGTTGTGGGCAGGGCTTATTGGATAAGGCCGATCACACAATTCCCTCACCAACAGCTGAAAATTTATTGTTACCGGTTGTCTAACTTGTATAATCAAAGGGAGGGACCTATACAACATGATTGATTCATTCATTGGAGAGGCTAACAATAACGACAGGTGACTAGATTGTGACAGTTCAACTACAGCGTCAGGGGCTAATACATAACCATTGGGTGGTGTGAGATTTGCGTGGCCATCTTAGACAAATATTTTTGGTTGTTGGTTGATAAAATATTGTGGCTGCAGCCACACAGGACAGGTGACCACTTTACAGAGTAAAATTATATCGAAAAAAACTCAAGGGTGGGAAATGGAAAGTGGCCATTTGTACAGGTCGTCATCGGGTGGCCATCATGGCAGGTTCGACTGTAGTTCTATCAAGAGCAGTAAAAGGAAAACTTACATCTTGCATATTTTCAGCACTCTTGAGACCTGCAAAGACATTAGGCTCGTCTGCTTTCTCCTTTTTTTTCTTGTCAGCATCCGTGACTTTCGCCTTGGTATCATAGTAGTAAATCTGGTACTCATCACTGGACTGCTGAGCTTCTGGATTTTCAGGAGGACCCTGTTTGGCAACAGCATTCACCGCCAACTCCGCTGGAGGTGTAGACCCTGAGGATGACTGAAGACTAGACACAAACATGGAAGAGGAGGAGGACGGGGCGGTAGCAGCAGCAGCAGCGTTTGCAGCAGCAGCCATAGAGTGTGACACGGGCTGACAGTTGGGTGGGGGGTACGCATATGCTCCAAGGGCAGGCAACATGTTGCTGGGATTCTTCGGATTTACATTGGGAGCAATATCGCCGATACCACCGTCCAAGTCTGCAATGCTTTCGTCAAAAACATCAATCTCCAGAGATGGTTGTCTGGCTGCTATCAAAAGCTGAGAATTGCTTAGAGGGGAGGAAGAGGAAACTGCTACTTTTGACAACGCAGGAATGGATGATGATTTCGGAGCATAACTATGCAGAGAGTCCACCTCCTCAAAGGAATTACTTCTCGAAGGGTTGCCTTTGTAGTCCCCACTAGAATCGGAGTCCCTGAAGCCCCTCTCTGGCTCACAGAAACCCTCAGAGCCAGAGCTCATAGCACCATCATGGCCCGAGTCGCGTCGGGAAGGGTGGGATGGGCGAGGGTCAGCTGGCCGGCCACGACTGCCCCGCACCTCCTGAGATCGTTGGGAATGAGCAAGATTTCTACTGGGATTATCCGTGCTGATGATGTCCTGAGAGCATATAGTCACCGGCTGGACCCGGGAAGGTTTTTTACAGTCACTATCATGAGGTTTGTTGGAACCAAAGTGGTAGTAAAACCTAGAGCTGTCTTTTGCAGAGTAAGTAATACCAGGAATGGGATAATCTTCCCACGTCAAAGCACAAGCTTCAATAGCAGGTTTGAAGCCTGGAAAATTCTCAATGTCACCTTTCTTGAGGCCACTCGCAGCATTATTGGAAGAATTGTTTCGAAATTTACGCACTTTCTCAATAGTGCTTATGTGCCAGTCTCGAAATTTGGCCAGCATATCCTGTCGCTGATTTGGGGACAGCTTCGGGTTCAGCGTAGCCAGCCTCCACAAAGTGACAATTTCATCGCAGAGGCTGGAGGCCGCATTCTGTGTCGCATTGGCTGTGTTGCCACTTCTACTGCAGTGAATGACTGTTGCATTGTTGCATGGTGACACTTTTGTGATGAACCACCAGATCAAGATCTGAAGGAAAGAGGAATATATTTCCAATAAGAATTTAAACTTAAGAATGTAACACATCTTCATATGGTAGTTATTTAATCTTACATAATGAAGATCTCTGCATCGAAAAAAAAAGTGAGACAGTAACATAGCCATCTGTCAAATTTTCTAAATAGGAACAAAACTAGAATTCAGCATAGACAGGCAGGTTGCTCAGTATGCTTGCATAATTCCTCTCAAACGTATGATTCAACATATCAATAGAGTTATGCGCTATACTACAACTAGAAGAAATAGTTCAACTCTGTCTTTGCTGACGTCATTCTGCAGGTCTACAATAAAATCAGGAGTCAGCATGCACTACTAATACTGAGGGCCAACTTTTGTGTCTTCTCTCATCATTTAAATAAAAAAGGTGCGCCACCTATTCAAAAATTTTTAAGAAACCGGTCCTATGGTCAGAGAATAACAAAATCGATACATATTATATCTTCCCCTATCAAATAATAATCCCAGTTTAGAACAAGAACACAAGAACTCGTACCTGTTCACACTGCAGAACCTCATCAGTCAAAATCTCCAGCAAGGGCACAGAGTTGCTGTCATGTCGTCGGAACATCTCCCTCACAATAGACAGCAGATTCCACATGCCCTCTGGCTCTCTTCCTCTCAATGGTCTCAGCAAACTTTGCCACTCTGTTGCAGCAGGGGGAGCACTGGCCGTCAGGTAGTTCACATCACTGAACAAAATACAAACAGTTCATATTGATTCACTACTGATAAAATCTTCTATCTAACCTGCAGCTGATATCTACTTTAAAAACTTCTTTTAAATAATTAAACTGTACATGTGTACACGTTTTAACTTAACCCCACTTCCCTCCCCCCACCCCACCCTATATTTATACAATTTACATAATAAAAGTGGAGAGCTGCTCCAATCCTACCTGTCAGACCCAACTCGCACTGTGTAGGATAGAATCTGAACAGACAGACTGTATGAAAAACTTCGCCACCCAGGAATCAAATTAATGTTTTCTGCATACAATGGCAGAAAGTGTAACAGCTACACCACACCATCAATGCCAGTCCAGCTGCTAAAGTATGTAAAAATCCTGGGTAAACTATACCTGAAAATTACAGAAGAAACCAGTTCAACTCACAAATAAAATTCCCAATTACTCTGGCACAGAACAAAAAAGAATGATCACTCAAAGAGTCAAAACACTGGTCAGGTCAATGATTCTTGAAACACTGGCCATTTAACTTTTACAGTAGATCATAAACTGATGTTGTTTCTACACTTGTCAAAATTGTTAATAATTCTTTTATTCCTCAGTACACCAATCTGAACCTGACAGAGAAATTGACAATATCAATAACAAGAAGCAGTATGTACAAAGCCATCAGCATTCATATACATAATCCTCTTCTGCCCACTTCATCGGGAGGTAAGGTCAGTACACAACTAAAAATACTTCATCTGGCAATCATAACATTATGTGTAGTGTGTATAACTCATTCTCTGCCCATTACCGATATATCAGCAGCACGATCGCACTATTTTCACTCATTACCATCGGCACAGACTATACCCAAACTTTATTTAGTTCGTAAATGCTTGATCCATAATTTTAAGTTTTGATATAAGAGGCATTGCCAAAACGTGGGGAAAAACACATACATCTCACATTAGTGTGCATAAAACGTGATGCATTAGTATTTATTCCTCCCAAACTTATACACATGTCAAATATAGGATGTAGAACCTGCATTAGCAGTTTCAGACCCTATGTCAGCGTTACAATTTTGAGTTTGTAAATTTTGTGCCAAAAATGTTTGTTTTTTAGTGATTTCTGGACTGTCATTTTGAGCACACCAATGCAAACTTCCAAGAATGTCCAAAATTTAGTATTTTTGGGTGTTTTTTTTTACCTGTGCTTTGATCCTATGCTATTTGTCATCAAGAACGGTTCACTTGCTCAAGAAATCAGTTTATTTGTTTGCAAATAAACAAATAATTCGGATCACTTGTGTGTCAGTTGTGTTGTCACAGACTAGGTGTTTCAGAAAACACCATTATTTTTCAGTAGAATCACCACAGCTGGTTAAATCTTTTTGCTTTTCGTCGTTTATTCAATACTTCAAAAGCTGTGAAAAGAACATCGGGTTCCTAGATCTATGATTTCGGTCGGCTGTTTAAAATTCGCCGTGATCGTCGTCACTTTGCGACATACTGGAAGTTCAAATTTTAGCCGACTTTTGTTTTGAACGGGTCATCAACAGTGCCTGGATATAATTGTTTTCTTGAGTGACTTCCCCTTACCCGCTTCCCCAGAACAGCGGAAGCAACGGCGGAAAGAGAAAAACGAAAGTAGTCATTGTCGTCAGCGCCCGGTGACGCACAAGAATCTTATGTTGAATGTGACGTACAGGTCTGTTTAGCGAGTTTTTAGGCTACCCTATTGAATATTTTTGTGAAATTGCGGTGTTTACATTGGATTCCTGGAACAAGAGTGTGATGTGTGAACAAACTTCGAGAGATGGCTCATTGCTGTGGTTATAGATTTAGCTTTTGTGCTTAGTGATGACGTTTGGGGTGTCGTCATGCAGCCGTACAAGACTGACTGACGTACTAGAAATTACATTGTCCTAAGAGCAAACATTCATGTCATGCGTGCTCTCTTTACTCAAACAAAGAAAACAAACATGTCCTTGTTTATCTGTCTAACTCAAAAGTACACATTTGTTCTTTGTCGGCATGAAATGCCTTTTTCCAATACATTGTGTCATTATTGTCACGTACAAGTAATATTTGTTATCATTGCTAATATCAATAAGTTTTCAACATATAATTCATACATGCAAGATTCATTTAGAAGCAAAACACGCTTTTATTGATCTGTGTATCTCATAGTGCAAATTTGTTCCTTGTAGGCTTGATTTTACCTTTTCCCAGTATGTTTTGTCACCACTGTTATGTATGAGTACTGTTTGTCATAATTAGCAACATAATTGTGATTGTCCACTGTCTTTGATATGACCCGATATCTGTTTCAAAGCAAAAGAAACCTCTCCTGTTTGTTTTTTTTACTCTTAGAGTGCGCATTTCTCTCTGGAGGCATGACTTTGTCTTTTCCTGTTATGCACAAGTCATGTTTGTCATCACTGTTATGTACGAGTCAGCCCCATTGATTTTGTGCTTTTGCCTCATATTAGTTTAAAAATTGTTGTGTAAACATGTGTTTTTCTGGTACTGAGACTTTGTTAACTGTATTTGTACAGCCTTTCACTATTAAGATGTGTTGTCAATGATAATGTCCAATGCGTATCCTTTCTTTTGTATAACAATGATGACATGTTCTGTGCACTGCGTCATTGTTACAATGCTTGTCATTCATATTACCATTATTAATGGAGTTCATAATGTATAAAGTCTTTGTTTACTAAACAAATGGAATTTAAAGTCTATAATTTGCCTTGCTGCTTATCTGTTTTTGTCATCACTGTTACATAAAAGAAATACAGTGGTTGCCAAACCAATAGACCCATATCTCAAAAACCCTACATCTCCTTGCTCAGACACTCTAGAGATATGAGCACTAAATGTCAATCTGTGACTGACAGGAAAGAAAAGGGAGTCAAATTGGCAAGAAAAATTTTTTTGCATCAAGAGAGTCTCACGTTTTGGCAATTGCTCATAAACAAAATCTCAAAAGTAGAAACTTCCTGCAACGAAATGTAGTGTCTATAACTACGTAAGTGGGAGGAAAGTAGAAATTGTTGGGAGTATCAGAGCTTCCAGCAGCTGATGTCAATTTTCGAGGATTTTCGGGTCCAGGGCAGAGCCCTGGCAGGGGGTTGAAGGGGGGCAGCGTCCCCTTTATGTTTGAGAATTTTTGGTTTCAGGGCATCCTAAGTATGCCATTTCTCGCTATCCAAGCCTAAATTTAACAAGAAAATTTATAAGTGAGAAAAAAAAAACATACCTTGCATAGGCCTACATAATTTTCGGCTTGTGTTAATCCATATATCCAAAGCCATGCTTTCTCCCTTTTACAAATGCTGTACATCCATAACTAGATCTATAAAACTACACAGTTAATGTTCCAACTTTTTTCTGCTTGTGTTGGTTTGAGACCAAGTATTTAGATCTGAGCAAGCCCAAGTCTTGACTTAGCAAAATGTCCCTCTATCAAAAGACAAAATTATTTAAACGCAGGGGGCAAACTTTGAGTATAGATCTAGATCTAGACTCAGTGAACCAACTTCTAAAGAAATTATGCTCAAAACTGGTATGTTTCTGATAAATTTAATGTTTTCAGTTGGTTGTTTTAATTCAAATACATCTACCACCCCTACTACTTGCTAGGACTTGCTCGTCCTAGACGGATTGGTTGAGTCCATTTCCTCGAAAAGGGGTAGGCAGTACCACCGCTATTACTTGCTAGGATTTGATGGCCCTTAGCGGATTGGTTGAGTCCACTTCCTTAATAAGGGGTAGGCAGGCCTAGGCCTGGATAAGGCTTCAATACCATCAATGCCATCCAAGGCTGAAGCAATTCCTGAGTTTATTAATTTACAACAGAGAACAGAAAAAAAAACGAACAAGCGAAGAAAAATAAAAAAAATTTTAGAATAAAAAAATCAACCAAACAAGTATCAAAAAGATGTTCCATACGTCTCAACATAGGTGGTTGGTTGGACTTGGAGAACAACAAAATTATAACGATAAAGGGAAGTAATGCTGATGGCTTTATAATCAAAGAGACTATTCATGTTACATTTATACTTTATTACGTCCCCTGGACTTGAAACTGGGCTTGAGACTTGCGGGTCTCAAGGTGTTAGGACTTGAGACTTGAAAGTCCTATTTTTTCAATTCTGCCCAAGCCTAGTGCTCTGCTTCTTGTGCTTTAGAAAGTGAAAGTGAAAGACACTGTCTACACTTTCAAATAAAAGAGCACTTCCGGTATGGGTTGGCTATTGTTGACTATTGGAGTAATAACGGAAATGTTTTATTTCGCATTTTTGAAAATAATTTTTTTTTTTATTTGGTCACAAATTTTCACGGAAATTTGTCCATTTGCAGAATTCTGCTAATTTGCGGAAATCTGCAAAATTGCAGAAGACTGGAAGCCCTGGAGTATTTTGTGTGGTGTGTTTACTTGGTTCATTAAACATCTAAAAATGAGGTTATTTGTTACTGTACAGAAATTAGATTTTATACGTGATTAGAAATAATAGTACAAGATATGGTACTGGAACCTCTAGAAGGAACAAGCCCTCAAATTACACAGTGACATTTTAAAATGCGTTTTTCTCAAAACTTTATTTTTGAAAGACCCTTCAGCATTAAAATATTAAAATCTGAGCTACTAATCAAGATAACCTACTGAAACTTTCCAAGTATGTGCAGATTTGGTAGTTACAGGTACCTGGCTAGTTATATTTGAGAAAATGTACTTAATATTTCAGAAACCTGCATTTGAAATTGATATGGAGTTTAAAATTGGTACAAAAAGAGGGACATTACTTTGAGACCCTCCCGAAAATCCAGAATATTGGAAGTATACCAACAAAAAAAACCCACCCAGGAACCTATAACTATTATTATAAACTAGATATTATTTTAAAAATTAAGATTATGCCTTTTGGTTTTCAAAACTTGAAGATTTTCCTAAGTATCGTATAATTTCAATATGACCGCCGGTGTTACATAACACTTTGAGTTAAATTGTTTTTGAACATTTTGATTTATTCAGGGAGGGTACCACATATTTTGGGAAAGTTTGGTTTCAAAAGATGCATAAATAACGAATATAGCTTTTCTTGGCAGCTAGACCCCTTAACACATTTCAATGCTACATTTTATTACCTTTCAAAATATGTATGACACTGCATACTTATTATTTCATTTTACTTATAAAAATCCTTCTCAAACCTACACACCTATCATTCACGATCAGATGCACAGAGAAAACAGGTGAAAGCTGGTATGAAAATGGGCAGAGAATGAGTTGAGCCATTTTGAAAACACTACCTCACATTTTTTTTCCTTTTCAGTACTTTTAAATTTCACAGAGCACAAACCCCATTTTGAAAACAATACCTCATATTGCAGAGCACTAAAGCCATTTTTCAAACACCATAAATCATTTCAAAACTTTCTTTAAAAGCTTTTCCTTTGTTACCTGAAAACCATAGGTGAAGGTATACAGAACTTGACCAGAGTCTTTTTAATGTTTTCATGGAGTGCAGACTCATCCAAGGACCAAGAGGTCTGCTCACTAGCGGACGGTCCAGCGGTCGGATCTGAGAGGGGGGAGCAAATAAAACATGTAAGCAATTCCATTCTTCATCTTCAAAAGCCAAATCTGAAACAGACATCAGCAACCATGGTCAGGAACTCATTTCTCTGCTCCGATGCTCTAAAAAAAACCCAACTAAATTATCTTGGTCTTTTCCTACCACACATCAGTCTAAATTCTCTACACAAATACTTTAAAAAAACAATTTCTTGATGCTGAGCAGATCGAGTCCTAATAAGAGCAGATAATTATCTTCAAGAACTTGGGACCTTCTTTAAGACTGATCCGTCAACTGTTGCTGGCACTTATGACAGCTTTAATACAGAAGCCACAACATGTAAGACTAGATTTTTAGAAGAAGTTTTAGTATAAGTAGTTTTAGTAACAGTTTTAAGGCACTTGCAACACAATAAGGTCATGTAAGTGCCGTAGATAAGAGTATTTTGTTTAAAATATAGTTGGTCTAAATCATTTGCAAGACAGCTTTAACAAATCAGTTTAATTGCATCAAGCCAAATTGCAAATGTTTCATTCAACTTAACAAGTCATCACAAAAAAAAAGGTTCTGATAAATTCAGCTAACCGAAACATTATTTGGAGACCAGATAAAATAAATTAACAATGTGCTCAACCTTACGCTACCAGCCTCTCTCAATTTATTCTTATTCCTTAAAACCACGAAATGTATTTTTAATGTTGCTCACCAAATGAGTCCCACAGATATAAACTTTACGAGCAAAAGCAGAGGTTGTGAGCTACAATAAGTGTAAATAAAAGAGGTGTTTTGTGAACCCAAGAGGTAGTATAACTGATAGGCAGCAATATAAAAGTAAATCTTATCTATCAGGTCTCATTTCACGCCAGTCATCCATAACAACAAGCAGGATTATTTGTATGTTTCAGTATGTATGTATCTATAATGCAGCCAACAATTTTTTCGTGCAACTTATCCTCAAATATCTCTTAAAAAGGTGACTCAATGTCACTTATACTTTGCACAGCAGTATGCATCAATTTGTCTCCACTTAACATATTTTTGCACAACAATTGAGGCTACATTAAAAGAACTTTGCTGCAAAAACATAAACAAAATTCCACAAATCTCCATCATGCAGAAAATGGGAGAGTTCACAGCACTTCCTGCTTCAAACACACCTTTTGCATACACAAATGGCCTAAGTCACTGCTCACCAATAACACTTTTTAGAAACAATACTTAAGCCCACAGATTAAATGTGATCTCCTGATGTATGACAAATGAGTTTGTTAAAATTTTTCTGCTTCATATTTATAATTCACCTGATTAGGAATGGTGAGATGATGAGGGGGAATCGTAAACTAATATTGTCGAAGGAAGGTGCGATGGTCAGATGCCATCATTCTTGACTTTTAGAGCAGTAAGAAAGTGGGATTCTTTCAACAATCTTCACACATTATCACAAACAACTCTCAATTTATAAGCATATAACTCACAGGTCAAAGAAGTAAAGAACAGCGTTTCTCAAAACATGTGTTCAATAAGTAAAATGTCACAATTAGAAGAAAAAATGGATTGGCTTTTAAAAATGCTTTTGTCTCAGCTCATTGGACGTAAACTTTAAAAAATCGGAAGAATCCACCCACTGGAATTTTTTATAATTATTAATATATAAGACATTTTATAGAATACAGCGAACAGGTGTTCGCAAAAATATCAATCTGTTGAGACAAATAGGTACAAGTTCATTGAGCAAAAGTTTGAGACTCATTATTCAATAGTTAAGGAGATATTCGACAATAAGTTGCACCGTGAACTTTTGACTGCACTATATGCTTGGAGTAACTATTGAAGGAGAGGGCGCGAGTCGAGTAACGTGAAGCCGCAGCAGACGACGGTCGGCCATGTTTGTGAGATCAGCTCAGTTCTCTCAGTTGGAAACTTAGTGTCGACCAAAAGGCAGTTTGCGTAGCGTTTGGGTCTGGTGGGCCTCTCATTCAAAGGTCCCGGGTTCGAATCCGAGTAGTGACGGAAAAATTTTGTACTCTACAAGTCTACATTCTCTGTCGTCTGCTTTCGTCTCCACTTTCTGCCTCAGGGCTCCGGACTCTTTCTAGTCTTTCTACTTCCACTCCTTGGCTCCTTCCTACCTCTGTCTTTCAACCACACCCCTGATCTTCTGGTAGGAAAGATCTACCCCTAGCCTTCTCGGACAAGGGCGAAAAAATCTCAGAGGTCCCGTATGCAAAATGTGCACATTAAAGGTCCCTTGGTGGTCTAAAATCGATAAGAGTAGGCTTCGGTCGCCACCCAGGCAAAATTCAAAAGTTCCTACCAACTTAAAATGTTTAATGTGTCCCTCGCACTCATATGACTTTATGCAGTTACGAGTGCCCCCGTAAAACACTTATAAGGCCTACGAAAAATGTTTGTCAAAATATCAGTCTCTAGCAGAGGCACTGAACTTGATGATGAAGTGCCTTCTGATTTAGCCATAAATGCACCTCACAGTAAAAACAGAATGAAAAAGATTGAAGAAAATTCAGTTTGCCATGATGATAACTGCATGTTTGTGCCTAGATCTAGTCTGACATACTTGTCAATTTGTTCTGAGAATACTGTTGCTTACATTGCTGGTTTTGTGTTGTTACGGGTGACAAAGCATTTGAAAATGTGAAACCTTAGTTGACTCCAGTGTGTCAAATGTAACTTCCTTGCTGTTTTTGAAGTCTCGTCTGAGGTTTGACAGTGCCTTCAAAGAATGTCATTGAAGTGTGTTTGGTGTGTGAATAACATTTTCGAAGCCATGTGTCGTCTGTCTGTGCAGGGGGTGTGACATTGTCAAATGAGAAAAGTCACAAATTAGTGCAGTCTGTTTTGAAATTCTTATTATTATAAGCCTATCATTTCAAATTTTCTATTAATTTTTAATACCCTTAAAAGTATTTTGTAAAATGTTGATAAAGTGTCTGGGTGTTTTAAAGGTGCCCCTCCCTCCTCGCTGGGGGGGGGCTGTTCTTTTCTTGTTTTTGTTTTTTGTTTTTTTGTGGGGGGGTTTTTTGTTGTTGTTTTTTTTTTGGGGGGGGGGGGTGGTTTATTTCCACCATCATACTTCATTTTTATCTGCCTTGCCCTCTCTTTCCTCATTCTTCGCCCATCCCATCCCACCCTCACTACCATCTTTTGTGTAATTATTTTCCATTTGGTTAGAAATATATTTTGTTCTATGTTTAAGTCAAGAAGTCTATGTTTTTGTAAAAATAATGTCAGTGATGACATCATTTTGCACTGATGAAGTTCTATGACCGAAAAGTCTGCAAATTTTGTTATCCCGTTTATATTTATTTTTGTTTTGATCCTTATTATCCCAATTTCTTCTCTAAAACGTGTAAAACAATTATCTTACCGTCACATTGTGTATACATAGTACATGTATTACTAAAAGTTCCACTAAGTGAGCTGGTAATTTGATGCAAGTAAGATTTCTTACCATCTTTATTATATTATTACTATCAAGAAGTCTTCGTTTTTGTAAAAATAATGAAGTTCTACTACCAAAAATTCAGCAAATTTTGTTATCCCGTTTATAATTTTGTTTTAATCCTTTTTATCCCAATTTCGTCTCTAAAACATGTAAAAAAATTATCTTACCATCACAATATGTATACATAGTACATTTATTACTGTAAATATTCGACTAAGTGAGCTGGTAATTTGATACAAGTAAGATTTCTTAACATCCTTATTATATTACAACTGTACGTGAGTGCTTATAATGCTGTAATTAACATTGAGAAAGAAATTTCGAGAGACAATGGAGTCCCAGCAGCTTGTTTTAGAAAAGAGATTACACTGCGCACGCTGCATCGTTTTGAACTTACAAAGATGGCGGCAGCCCCGATAAACTCCGCCCCTTCGGCTTCAACTTGGTTGGAACTGTTGAGCGGACGACGCAACGTTAGGGCCTCTCCCTATATAGTTACTCCAAGACTATATGTATCAATGTATTAATGTATCGCATTTATGTACATATAAGTTATGCCATTATAAACCACACTTCCCCCTCAAGATCAATAAAAGTGGAATTTTTGTAAATCAGTAGCCAGCCACTTGACAACTCTCACTGGTTCTTCCACTTTCCACATGAAAGACAGGTCATACCTGGTGCTCCGTACTCTGTATTCATGGCGGTTTCTTGGGAAGAAAGCAACTCATCCAAGATCTGCTGAGCTGTCGGCAAGATCTAAGATAAAAAGATTCAAGTTCACCAAATTGTTTTTTTTTTTGTCAACTGTGATTAATAAAGAGAGGAGAATGTCGGTATTTCCCTTCTTTCTTCACTGAAAAACCAGCTCAAAATAATTTCCGAGAGGTTTCATGTCAGCCTAAGGCACTAAAAGCTTCAGCCAGTACAACCATTTTCACAAGTATGGCAAAAGCCACATCTAGGGTAAACATTTTAAAGTCCTAGCTATTACAAGAAAAGTCTACACTCGGTCAGAAATACTAGCAGTCAAAATCCTGTCCAGTAAAGCCTTCAGAAAAATCGTGTGCACAGTTCGATTTATACTTTTCCTTCCTGCCACATTCAAAGCGACACACTGACATGTCATGAGCAATGGCCACAGACAATGCCAAAGAGTGGTAAAAGTCAAGTATGAACCCTGACGCCTTTGAACAACATAACACACACAACCCACTATTTCCTGTTCCTGTAAAACATAGCTGCAACCCCACTGTTACCCTGCCCACTAAGTCAAACACTTTCAAAATGAGAAGGCTATATTATACTTTACTTTTACCCAAAGAGCTTTATCAATCACAACAGTAAACTTAACTCTTATTACTTCATAATGAAAGCAGACAATTCTAAAATGTAGCTGTATTTCCAACAAAGATTTTCCTACCTGTTGTGGCAGCTCACTGATGAGGTACTGGGCAAACTTCTGAAGCTGATCTCTGTGTAGCCGGGACAAGGATTCAGACACAGGTGCTCGCAGGCACACAGAGCTGGCCTGGGCACACAAAAATTACAATATTACTGTAACAAGATGTATGATGACTAATGGGTACAAAAACACAGACACTAGCGCACGCATGCACAGGTGCACAAACACACACACACACACACACACACACACACACACACACACAGAGAGACACGCAGAAGCATGAACAGACACATCCTTGTATATCTACATGTTTTATCACTCAACAAAAGTAAGACAACCACAATTCAAAAATCAACAGCACAAAACAAACTTGTTAAATGTGATATTGCCAAATGATTAGAATCTATTATAATATGGCAGTCAGCAGAGAATAAGAGTCCCATCCTTTCAACTCCCAACAAACCAAAACAGGCCCCCCAAAATGCAGTGCTCGCCATACAGACACCTTGTCCGTCACACAGAATTTCCTCTATGATGAGCCTGGCTATGATATAAATAGATCACTGATATCAAGCTCAAAACCCTGGTTTCCTTTCCATTCAGGAAAAGGTGTTAAGAGTCATCATCAGCTGACAGAATTTACTTTTACTTCCGGTAAGTGCAAACAAGGTGATCAGTCACAATCACAAGAAGGCTGCTATAGGCACAGGAGGCTGAACAAAATAGGCTACCATTGATGGCAAAGAATATCAGTGTTTCCAACAGCTGAAGCTAGAAAGTCAGGAAAATTCTGCCGAGGGTCAGGCAAGCACAGGCCACCAGCAGGGTCCAGGGACAGCGTCCCGGTGGGGGTTCAGGGGGTGAAACCCCAAAGGAATTGAAATTCAGTGCTTTTAGAGGGTTGAAAACAGCATTTGGGAGCCTGTTTGAAGAGGTAGCCAAAAACCCATAACACCAATTTTTTAACAACATTTTGTTGTTTGGTTTCTCCACTTACAAATCTTTCCATTGCGGGCAATGTTTTAAAAAAAGCAGGTTTCCCTTGCCACTGCTAAAATTTAATAATTAAATTAATTTGTCATTGCATCATTGACTTGACAGAAGGCAAACATAGGAATAATGAAGAGACATGTACCTTGACGAGAGTATAGAGTTACACAGTGAATACTCTAATTTTCCTCCATTCTCACGTTTGAATGGTGATTGTCACAATCTGGGAATACCACTTCAAATCATTCTTGATTCTAGTGGTTTTAGTATAAATTTATTTCACCGTTGCCCTTATATCATGCTCCCATAGGATCATCGTACTGACAATTTCTCTAGATCTAGACTAATTTGCCAAAAAAAGTTTCTTTCTGAAGATGATTTCTAGTCTAAAATCACAACTCAATGGACTTGATCAACAAGAAGATTTTCCAGCTATGGCAACAATCCGAAGATAGACAGAAAGAATGAGTGAATGAAAGGAAGAAAGGAAAAAATTTGGCACAAAAAAATCGCTATAATTGCTTACCAGATTTTGATCAATTCGCAAGTAAAAATGTATTGCCAACCAACCCACAATGAATCCGTAGTGGGATAATGGCCGATTGCAGAAAATGTGCAATATGGCAGGTTTCTATAACATACACTTTTTGCCAAACGTAACTTATACAAGACGATACGAAGGCGAGTAAGGATCCTTTGCCACGAAATTTTGGTAACCCTATGCCATCACACTTTTTTACTGATGAAGTTGATGATGATTGGGGAGCAAGAATGGAACTGTCCGAAAGTATGGATTTCCTTAAAAATACGGAAAATTGGAAGCACTGGAATATGAACAGGTACATGGGAGCAGATGTACCTCTTTGATCCTGAACAGACAGAGGGCCACAATGTGGGCACACCAACTGGCTGAACTTCCACAGGTGCACGTACAGCCGGAGATCCTGCGTCTGTCAAACACAACAGCCACATTGAAGCTGCCCTTACTCTGACCTTGAGCAACATTTTGCACTGTGACTACTGTCCCACTTAAATGAAAACCTTAAAAAAAGAAAAAAAGACTGGCAATTAAATCAAAATGGGCATGAACAATGTACAGAACTGCACAATTTTAAAACTTTTTTCGACAAAACCTGTTTTGTTTGAGTAAAAATTAAAAAAGAAACACATCGACACAAGAATGGTCATTTAGTACACAGTAAAAGCAAGACAGAGAGACAAAAACAACAGAGGGGGGAAAAAAGGCAAAAACCTTTGTTTCCACAAAAAAAAGCAGTCATCCAAATTTTACCCACATTCAAGGCTGTTAAGACTAAAACCTGTGACTAGGTACAGTGCACAACAGAATTATCGATATTATAGACGCAAAACATCAACAAATCCTTACTAAACAAGATGATGGGGACACAAAGGCCCTACATAGCACAAAGAAAAAAAACCCCAAAAAAAACAAAGGAGCCCTGGACCCATCAGCATAGGATGCTATTTACACAGAAATTGAGTTTGAGTTCAAACTGATAGTGCTCAAAGGTTGATGCATAAAAAAACAATACAGACAAAAAAATAACAGGGTCAGACCACACTAGAGTAGTCCTCAAGCCCTTTAAACGCAAAGGAAATGTGATACCCTCATTCAAAATTCTATGTCATGCTACTCTTTACAGATATCAAATTTTTTTAATAAAAAAAGAAACCAACATAAAAATTGTACTAAAAGCCTTAACACAAGAGGATTTTGATTAATCCTCTTGCACCTTCCCTAGCTTATCCATAAATCTGTAGGTAATAATACCAAAGTTTACTAAATACAAAAATTACATTCTATCATTTACTTCTCTTACATAATAACTCATTAGGAATACAATTTTAAGACCAGAAAAAAGAGAATACTTACCTATCTGTAAAGTATCCTTAACTGATTTATTCTTGTACAGGTGTTCCCCTTTGGTGAACTCATCTGCACTGCCATTTGCTAAACATGAATACAATCTGAAAGTAGAAAAGGTAAAGAGAGACCAAAAATATATGTCACTACACAGTGGAATCAAGCGCTTGTTAATTTTTGGGAAAATGAAATTATTAGCATAATCTTATAGCCTGTTCAATCACCTTGCTTAAATATCCATCTGTCTTGAATAGAAGTAGAAATATTTGCCATTAAATGAGGCGAAGGTCAGATGTAAATTTTGCACGAAAATAGATGTCAAAGTTAGGTAATTTCCAAAGCTGTAGTGTCTTTGAAACTGCAAATTTACATTTTTTGTTTTTAATCAACATGTTTCTGTAAAATCCACACAGAAATGTGTTTTTAAATGGACAAAAAAGGTGCTGAACTAAAAAAAAAAAAGAAAATTTGAAAATAATAGACATACAGCTAGAAAAAATGCTGGTTTCTTTGATTTAATTATTTTAACAAGCGCCCGATTTCATCATGATGCCTCATATATAAAAGTAATCATTTACAGCTCTTTTAATTTTCTCACTTTTGCAATGCACAATATAAAAGATACACATGATAACACCATGTTTTCTTTTTGGAATGAAATATGCCTGGAGCCAGGCCCGAAGAAAAAAAGGAAGGGAAACTGATGATACAAACAAGTAGCTCACATTACAAGCAAGTTCTTAGACGTAGGTATTCTAAATAGCACAATGAAAGTTGGCAAATTCATAACTCATACAGCAGTCAAGCTCTTAAAATTCACTCCAAAATATGTAATTTTTTCAATCAAAAAAAAAAATTTAATTAAATATAGTAATGAAATGAGTTTAGAAAATTAGTTACCGTATATCTTCTTCACTTTCTGGAAAACTCCAAAAAGCTATACGTAGCTGAACCGGTTCTGGAATAGGCTCTGGAAAACGTTCAACTACCTCAAAAGGGATGTGGCAAGCAACAGCTTTGGCTGACAATTCTGCCAAAGGCGATACTTGTCTCTCTGTTTGAAGAAAAAAGACCAAGACATTGTTAACAACGTACACTTGAAGACATATGTGTAATTTTGAGCAGTAGAAAACAATCCAGCGAAAAATATAATTAATTTCAAGGCATCATTCCAGTTTTTTGGGGGGGTTTTTCAATGAATCATCACAATACAGAAAAAAATTTAAAGAAAAGCCACCTATAACTTTTACCCAAATATTTCAATAGCTTGTTCACTTTTGTCTGACAGCGTAAAAAGAAATTCTAGCTCATTTATTAATTCACCTTTGGATGGCTCCTCTACAGGCCAGCGACCAAACAAAAATATTTTTTCAAAAAAATAAAGAAGTTTTACTCTTTGGGTCCTATATTAAAAACTGCTCTCTGAATGCACTCACAGGATCACTAAAATTAAAATGAATGAATGACTTACAGTAACCTTGCTTATAAATTGCTCATTCTGAGACGGCCACACCACCCTGCCCCATCATTTCAGTGTAAGCTTGTAGATTTCATCCCCCCCCCCCCGCCTGTCAAGACGTCTCCACGTTCTCCATGTGAGTCTCGAAAATTACTCATCACGTCTCTTGAACCAGTTTCTTGGGCATACTTTAGAGTATGGTGTTGAGGAAAATATGTCAACTTTTCAATGGAGAATGGTGTGTCCCTATTATATTTTTTACCTGCTTTAGGTTTACATCAAAGAAAACATGTCAGAGCCACAGTTTACAGAGACCTTTATTTATGAATGGGCTTTTTGATTTTGTTGGTCATCCAACTTTAAGACCCGTCATCATCATCAGTGCCTTTCACCCCTGGCAGGGTACAGGCCACATACTAGTTCCTTCAATTTATCTCTATCCTGAGCCATCCTTCCTAGCTCGTTCCAAGTGAGCTTCATCTCTCTCATGTCCCTTTCCACACATCTCCTCCATGTTTCACGTGGCCTACCCCTGCCTCGTGCTCCCTGTGGGTTCCATAGCAGTGATTGTCTTGTGATGTTTCCGCTGGGCTTTCTGAAGGTGTGTCCCATCCAACGCCACTTTTTAGTCCTATTTCTACTTCTATATCCTTTTGTCCTGTCCTTTCCCATAGCTCTTCATTTCTTATTCTATCCTGCCACTTAATTCTTAGGATACTTCTCATACATCTGTTGATGAAAGTCTGGACTTTATTCAGCACTGTCTTTGTTGTCTTCCAAGTTTCGCAGCCGTAGAGGAGCACAGACTTGACATTGGAATTAAAGAGTCAAATCTTAATGCGCATTGATATGTTGCTTGCTTTCCAGACTTTTGATAATTGCTTGAAGGCTGACCTTGCCTTGGCGGTTCTTGCTTTTACATCTGCCTCTGTTCCACCTTTACTATCAATGACACTGAATGCTGACCTTGCCTTGGCGGTTCTTGCTTTTACATCTGCCTCTGTTCCACCTTTACTATCAATGACACTTCCAAGGTAGGTAAAGGAGTCCACTTCTTCTTGAGGATTGTCTTCCACTGTCACAGCAGGGCTTGACACTTTTCCTAGCTTCAGGACTTTCGACTTGCCCGGGTGTATACGTAAGCCAACACTCCTTGATAGGCTGTTGAGTTCCCTGGTTTTTCTTGCATCTGAGCATGTGTGTGAGAGAGCAGTGCAAGGTAAACAGCGAAGTCCAAGTCGTCCAGCTGCTGCCAAGGGATTCACTGTATTCCATTTCGCTTGCCTCTGGTGGCTTCCTTCATGATCCAGTCAATCGCAAGTATGAAGAGAAAAGGTGAGAGCAAGCATCCTTGTCGCACCCCTGTCTGTACCTGGAATTGTTCTGAGAGTTGTCCTTCGTGGAAGACTTGGCAATTTGTTCCATCATAGGTGGTCTTCACAAGCTTGACGATATTTTCAGGTATTCCATAATGCCGCATTAGTTTCCACAGACTTTCCCTGTCCACGCTGTCAAATGCCTTTTCATAATCAATGAAGTTGACCACTAGTGGTGAATTCCATTCAAGTGATTGCTCAACAACGATGCGCATGGTAGCGATCTGGTCCACACATGATTGGTTCTTGCGGAAGCCTGCCTTGTTTCCCCTGAGCTTCTCATCTGTTGCCAGCTTGATTCTCTCCAGGTGTATCCTGTTAAAGACTTTCCCAGGTATGGACAGGAGTGCTATTCCTCTGTAGTTGTTACAATTGCTGAGGTCTCCTTTCTTTGGCAGCTTGATTAGGTGGCCTTACTTTCAGTCTGATGGTATTTCCTCTTCTTGCCAAACCTTTTCGAAGACAGCATAGAGAATTTCCACTAAGCATTTTTATATCTGCCTTAAGGGCTTCCAGTGGTATATGGTCGGGACCAGATGCCTTGTGGGACTTCCGTGCTGTTACAGCTGCAGCAATTTCCTCTCTCGAAGGTGGTTCCGTAGCGATTGGGAGGTCATTTCTGGCTGGAAGAATTTCGGGTTGGTTTTCTGGAGGTGGTCTGTTCAATAGTTGATCAAAGTGTTCTCTCCATTGGTTCAGTTGCCCCTCTGGGTTGAAGATAGTCTTTCCCTCTTTGTCTTTCACTGGTAAAGTGGGCTTGCTGAACCTACCTGAAAGAGTCATTGTCTGATGTACAATCCGCAAGTGCCCTTCTGTTGCTGCTTTCTCTGCCTTTTCGGCCAGACCATTCAGGTGGGTATTCTTGTCCTTCTTGATGGAATTCTTTACCCCCCAGTTTACTTCAGTGTACTCTTGAAATCCATTCATTCCTGGTGTTGACTTTGGGTCCTAGGATGCTCTGGCAAATTGCATTTACTGCCTCTTTTATCATGTCCCAGTGTTCGTTTACTTCACAGTCATCCAGATTTTGAAGGGCTTGAAATCTATTCTTCAGTTCCAATTTGAATGAATTCTTCTTTACTGGGTCCTTCAGAAGGCTCACTTTATACTTTTGGCGACTTTCAGTTGTGATTTGTGCATACCTTCCCAGTTTCAGTTTCATCTTTCCAAGGATCAAATGGTGGTCTGATGCGACGTCTGCTCCTCGTAAGACTCGGACGTCCTCCAGTGAGCGTCTAAACTTTCGGGAAATACAAAAATGATCAATCTGGTTTTCTGTTGTTCCATCCAGGGAGACCCAAGTGGCCTTATGAATTCTTTTATGTGGGAAGATTGTTCCTCCAATAACCAAGTTGTTGAAAGCACAGAAGTTTTGGAATCTTTCTCCATTGTCATTTGCCTCTCCTAATCCATGTCTGCCCATGATTTCCTCACAGTGACGATTGTCCGAACCTACCTTTGCATTTAAGTCTCCCATGACAATGTTGATGTCCTTACCTGGAAGTTTGTTGATTACACTCTGCAGGCGGTTGTAGAAGTCATCTTTATTCTCCACTTCTCTGTATCATTGGTTGGGGCATACACTTGTATGATGTTCATGTTTATGACCTCCTTTCTACCATCTCTTTCCTTGAGTTCTTTTTTAGTTCCAAAAGAGGCCATGATGATTCTTGGACCGTTCGCTTCCCAGCCCTTGAATGTTTTTTGCGCTGTTTTGGATATGATCATCCCTACTCCTTCTCTGTGTGGTCCATCAATGTCATTTCCTGAATAAATGAAAAGCTCCCCCTCTTTCATTCGCTTCTGTCCAGACTGGTTCAAGTGGGTCTCGCTGATTCCCAGTATGTGTAGGTGGTATCGGAGCATTTCTTGGAGGACCTGTGCAGTTTTTCCAGCCTCATTTATAAGGGTCCTAATGTTCCACGATCCAATCCAGAGAGACTTGGATTTGGATGATAGAGGAGGCTTCTGCCCAGCAGCTTCCGTTCGGCTTTCACTGCCTCGCATCATAAACTCTCCATTCGGAGAAAATCCATGACCAGCCAAACTAAGATAATGTTTTTGCTTGTATGGGTTTCTGTAACAAGTTCTTTTTACGAGAGAGGTTGTTAGCCTCGTGACTCAACCCCCGACCTGGAGGGAGGATGACTCTGTTTCGGGAGTCACAACCTGGTTTCGCCATTTAGTTGCCTCCTATGACACGCTAGCACCACGTCAGTCCTATTCTTTTCAATGCCGGGACTGCACGGCGGTTTAGACCCGTAGGCCTCTATGCAAAGATCTGAGAAGACTAAACAGAGCGATTTCATTTTATCTTGTTTTAACCGCAGTCATTTGAAAGTGAACAAGCTATAGTTTGCAAGCAGCAGAAGACCTGTAATATCCTTTGACAAAAGGGTCAATTTATTTTGTATGAGGACAAAGTAATCATGAGACAAAGAAATAGATGGATGTGACAAACAGAAGGTGCAATGTGCATTACTAGTGACTAGAAAAAATATACATTCTGAAAGAGTTTCAAACAGTTATTTAGTATTTCAGACATGGAGGTTTTATTTCATGGAAATGGGTAACAATACCTAGAAATTTAAAGAATTTTAAACAAGTAATCAGCGGTCACGAAAGTAATACTCTAAATCAATACTTCTCAAACACATCAGAAATACATGATGGCTTATAGCTCGAGAAGCAACAGAAATACTTTAAATGAGAAATAACCAACAAGCAATAAAACAATTTACCCTCATATTTGCATGTCATTCATCTAAGCCATCCATCAACATTTATTATAATTTTAGCCTATATAGATAGAATTTAACACCACATTCTGACTCAGCTGTCAGTTGCAAATGATCTTAAAAGTTTACTGGAAGAGGAGGATAGGCTGCAATTACTGTTGACTGTGTACAGAGAGAAATTAAACAGATTGTGTTCCTTCTTTTTTTTGACCACAGAAAAACATCATGAATGGACTCCTTTCTCTACTTTATAAGAAGTGTTAAAGAAAAGAGAGTAGATAACTATACAGATGCAAAAACACACTAAAATTATTTATCATAATATGTTTGCTTTCAATATAAAATAGATAGATCATTCTATCCTAAAAATAAAATGGAAGAGGCTAGCCGTACTTAATGACGGCTAGACTGGTTGGCTAGCCGTACTTAAATACGGCTAGACTGGCAGTCTAACCGTACTTATTCTAAATATGATGGCTAGACTGACCATTTAAAAAAAATAGGCCTACTGAATTGTAAATGTAAATTTTTAGTGTGCAGTTACTAAAGTATTTGTATTTGAGACGAAACCAGGTGCCTTAATGACAGTGCATATTTTAAACCTCCTGTTTTCTAATGTTAATAGGGCCTAAGATAAAATGCTAAACTGGCAGTCTAGCCGTACTTAATATTGATGGCTGAATTGTAAATGAATATATTTTAGTTTGCAATGCCTCTAAAGTCTTTGTATTTCAGACAAAACCAAAAGGTGCCTTACTGACTTGCATGTATTTAAACCTGAATAATTACTAGATCTAGATCTAATGAGACCTGTGTACTTAATCTTAACAGGCTTAGAGTCGATAGGGCCAAACCTAGATCTAAGTACGGCTAGACTCTCAGTCTATTCGAAATAAAATCAACAATTAAACAATTATGTTCTTCTTGCCCCTGCCCGCCATGGCGAATTTTGTTACACCCCATTTGCATCAGGCTACAAGGAACTGCTTTTTGTACACCTGAAGACAAACAGACCTAATAAACAAACTTACTTTATTAATTAAGTCGCAAAAATAACATTCTTAAAGCAAGGATAGGCCTACCACAATGAGTGAGATCACCGGGGGGGGGGGAGGGGGGAATATTACTTAATTTTAATCACCCATCACATGGGCATGGAAAATGTTCAAATACCTGAACAGGAAAAAAAGTATAACAAGTCATAAAAATGAAATTTATGGGCCTATAGACAATAGACAACAGACATTTTCTACTTTCTGCCTCATTTTCATCACTTTTCTTCTGGTCTTCTGTTCAAGAATCTAGATCTAGATCTGTATATCTGAATAAAATATTGAAACAGAAAGGGAAAGAGGGAGACATAATATAAGGTACACGGTATCAAAAGACATAACATGACAGTATACTACTTGCTTTTCTAGGCTATCTCTCGAACTTCTCTCCCTCCCAAAACTGAAAATTTCATTGTTCTCAGCTGTGGGTTATTTGACCTAATTTTCAGGTCAAGACCTCATTCCCACTTCTGCTGTTACACGGCTACTATAATGGTGGCATCCACAAATCAGACAGCTAGGGCTTTTTCTTACGCCGTTGTCAAGTAAACTAGGCTATCGTTTTTAGGCGTTCACTAAAATGTTATCAGAAGATTATTTTCGTCCATTGACGGCAACTAAGAAAGAGGGCATGCTCCCCTCACCAGTGAAGAATCTCTTGCGTTTTATCTGGGTTAACTCAGACCTAACCTGAATTTTTGCCTTTGAACAAAAATAAAATCAATAGACTGATTGCCCTGAAAAGTCACACAGTATTGTTCACTTACAATCATCAGCCTACTGACCAAACGAATACATCGATAAATGTCAAAGTAACATCGAAACTGTAGTATAAAGCGCAACCCACTGTAGACTAGATCTAGGCTAGGCCTAGGCCTAACACAAACTATAAACAAGCATGATGATAATAAGTTCACGGTAAACCAACAAGCTGGTCTAAATAATGAGATGCGAGGTAGAATCAGGTCAATTCATTATCATACGACAACGGGAAAAGAAGCATGTAACTGTTATCCCCCCCCCCAAAAAAAAAAAAACCCCAGTATTTGTCCAGTCTAATCAAAATACTAGAGGGGGCAAAAATTCACAGAAATAAATTTTGACCAGCTGTAAGATGAGGTTACTCACCCCTGCCTGCGCCTACGTTGGGGCCACCATTTTGTCTCTTCCAACCTCTCCAGTTATTGCAGACACTTTCGGGTTCACTTCCCCACGAACACAACGAATCTTCCTCAAACCTATCACTATCCTCGAATGAAAACCTATCCCCTTCATATTCCCATTCAAACATTAAGTCCATGGTCAAAAGAATATATATTAGAGTTCACACGCAAACGTAGACCCCGCTTGGCGAGTCCAACCCTACAAAGGGTTGGTCGACGAAATGAAGCAGACGTTTGTCAGTCTTGTCTCACAAGCTTTCTACCACAAAATTTTCAATCTTCGTGTGATGAATAAAAGCAACGACTACAATTTCAGTACTCCAAATTATTCTAGGATATTCCACATTTTGATGTGCCTTATTCGAATGCAGGTGTGTACACTGCTTCCAAATAGGGCGATATGTGTCGGGTCTCGTCCTCCCCAGCATACAACAATAACAAACGGGCCCGGAAAATGTCGGCATACATCGGCTGATTCCGTTGTCCCGAACAGCACTCCCGATGTGAGGACAATCGGTAGATTGGCCTAGGCCTAGGCAAGAAAGAACTAAAAAAGTACAAGCGTGTACTCAACAAGTCACAATGCGCACAAATGTAAACAAAAAAACAAAGTGGCCTGGGGGAATACACAATATAAATAGATGCCTATGAAATGCTTTTCCTGATTTGTACGACGGTTTCTAATTGGAGGCCTAGATGTCTAAACCCTTTTTTCAGAAATAAGGGTAGATCGGGGAACGTCGTGGCCTAATTTAGATCTGAGTTCATAATACAATAGCCTATTTGCTTACAATTACTGCGATGCACAGTTTTATTAACTTGTCATTGTGTTAACAGATGTTTACAGAGATTCAACAGGACTCGAAAACGACTTGTTGAAAAAGACAGCCTTTTAGCCGTTCGTGTTCAAATACTGGCGTTTCCCAAAAATGTAAAGTGACTTTTTCCAGCAAAATTGTTTATAATTGCGAGCTGTTTCGATATGTGTGGGGTTTTTTTTATTTTTGTTTATGTGCGTTTTATCCAATTCTTTTTTAAACGTTTTTTTTTTTTT